ACCATATTCACTTCGTGGCCTGATGGCGCCAGTGCTTGGAGTATAAGAGAATAACTGTCCATCCTCAGCATTGGCGTCCTCTTCCTTCCTTATACACTCTCTTGCAGTGAGAGGGCTTGCCGAGCTGGTGTCGAAGGTTGCACAATGTATTACGTAGGAAGCAGATTCTTTCACATAGACTGGCACTTCGATATGAATCGGGATATTTCCGTCTTCTAGTGTTAAATTGGCCAAGGTGAGGTAAAAGGTGGTTGGCGAGGAATCAGGAGGAGTTAGGTCGAATTGATTATCACTAGAAGCTTCTGTAGACACGGATAAGGAAGCAATCTTCTCTCCTACAGGATTGTCAACTGTAGGACTCTGAAATGATCATGAGGGAAAATAGATAGAATATGTAAGGAATTTACCATAATATCAATCGTTCCAGCTACACCCAGGTGCACTAATTGCTCCACGGCAGAAGTCGCAAGTTCGAGTTGTCTACGACCCCTTGTGTGTCCAGAATACCGTCGGACGTTCCGTTTCCTGCGGGAAGACCGATGGGACCTACGACGGCATTTGCGAGATGCCTTCAAGGGGATACCGGTGAATGCGCCTATATTTGATCCTTTGAAAGCGGCATTATGCTGATTATTGTAGATTTCTTTCTATTAGTCGGTCAGAAGGAGGTCATAAGAGCGGTCAATTGCACTCACCGGCAGCATTGCACCATTGTTCCAATGAGTTTGGGGCGACATGTCTTCCAAGAGACATTATGAGCATCTGATTGAAACTTGTTAGGATATTTACGTACCTCTCAAGCGCATTTGTTCTTGTTTACCCTCTACAAAGTTGGATCCAGGTCCGCCGAAATAGCAGAGAAGAAGGAATAGCCTCCGGTTGATGATCATGGCCACGAAGTGAATATGGTGATACAGTAAACTAGAATAAGAGTATTTTATAAATTATTGAAGTGGATAAATTCGTCACCAGGACGAGGAAGAAGCCAAGTTGAATGGTGGCAAGCTGTTCCGACTTCCGGTAATTGTGCTTTTCGTCCTCGTCATCCTCCCTTTTACGAATTTCTTCAAATAATCTATGCAACGCATTAGCAGACCGCTTCAAATACTCACAGACCTATCGAAACATGGCCGAAATTGGGCTGTTCAACATGGGTTTGATCCGGCCTCGTTCTGGGAGCAGAGCATCGTCTGGGGCGACCTAGACTCCTTTCAGCAAGTGTCGTTATACACAAGGGTTTGAAAATTACTCACCTGATTGGATAGACATGTGAATAACGTCCGTTATTGTAAGTGTCATGTTCTTGAAACACTCGCCAAACTCATACAACGGTTGAATTATGACACTGTATAGTGAGATTCCTCGAATCGGTAGGTTTCATCTTTTAATGTGTTACAGATCGTTGATATTACTTCAGGGTCGAATGAGGTGGCTACAGGAGCTGGCTATGGAAGCTGGTGGAGAGCAGACTGCCGAGGACTTGGTCAAGGGTCGAGGCATCAGCCTTATTCTCAAGAAAATAGATCTAGATTTCAAGGTATGTACAGAGTACTGGGATATTATCATATGACTGAAGCTAGACCATAGCGTCCAGTCAATTTCCCCGATACTGTAGGCATATACGAATTGAAATCCGCCATTCATGGTTAACATTTCCATTTTTATCTCATGCAGCTTCTCATAGCACACAAATTCGTTCCGCATTCCAAGGATCCGGCTCACCTGCTGATGCATGCAGTGGCATACTCGAACACGCAAGAGAGGGTGGTAACAGAGTCCAATGCTGTCTGTGTATGGTACGACTACGACAACCTGAGAAAGGCGTCCCAGGGGCCGCCCTCTCACTTTGCACGAGTGATAGAGCGCAGCATGAAGGGTGGCGGTTCCGAGCAGCTTTTACCATTGTCCGAGAAGGCATCGACATAAAGATGATACTACATCTATATAATCTATATTACTTGGTATTTTTATCGATATCTTGTGATGGTTATAGCGAGGGAATAGACTGATTTCAGCTTCGACCCGGCCACATCTGGCGAATGACATCGGCTGCAAAGCTACACTTTCTGGATCTTCCTCCAGAACTTCTCATCCAGATTCTCCTTGAAGTCGATTGGGAAGACTTTTTGAGACTCAAACTAGTCTGTAAAGCGATCCGAGACCTCACCAATACCTCTGAGATTCAATATCGAATCTGCTTGGGCGCTCTCGGGTATCAAACCACTCTCGCAACACCCAAATACCCCGCATCCGACCAACTCGACAAGTTTCAAAAGCTAACCAAGGGATTTTTGACCGGTCACTTTACCAAAAAGGAGAGTATTCCCATCCAAGGATTCACTCCTACCTACGAGCTTCAAGGCGGCTCATTCATTCAAGGACGGCACGCACCCAACAATCCTCGTGACACTGTAGGCATCAATGTCTTCAGATTCGCCACCTTTCTAAATGACGAACCGACGACCCAATGGCAACTCCCCAACTTTCCCCGCGTCGTACGTGATCTCACCCTAGATCCTAGCCAAGACCTGCTTGCTGCAATCGTAGACAAGACACCAGACAACCAGCAGTGAGTATAAACTTGATGAAAGGGAACATGTTTGATGCCTGTTATCAGCGCCCAGCCAGTGATTGACCTGGAATTCTATTCTCTGGCCACTGGCCAGGTACATTCGATGGTCAAAGGAAATATACCTAGAGAAGTTTGGAATATAACCGAATCCATCCTCCTAGGGTTTATCATCACCATCATGGAGGACTTTGTCGGCCTCTTGACGGTCAATCACCAATTCTTCATCTGCAATTGGAAGACGGGCCAAATTCACGCATTAGACAATTTCTCTTTTGACAACAAGATCCATGATTTCTTTTTCTTGGATCACTCTAGGTACGCACTAGTACGAGGAGACTGTAAACCTCCCGAAGTCCACATCCACGCCCTCCATACCGAAAGCGCGGATCCCAGCAAGTCAATTCTCCTCGCCATCTATCACTTACCAAGACTACAAAAC